TTAGATTCTGTTGATACTGAAGGGACAAGACGGCGTAACGCATCGGACTTTGTAGTCTCTCCTGGGCAGGAAATAATCTCTGTGAGGTTGCCTACATGTATCACAACTTGGATCATTACTTAGGTTCTATCTGACGGATAATTTGAAACTTATTTCTCAAATTCATATGTCATTAATCAGTTGATCAACAGGTTCATTGAGAATCTGCTAGGTGCTCAGATGGTGATAATTCTAATAGCTACCATTTATGGAGCAGCCACCACAGGGTGATTGACGTGTATGAGATGGGAATACCACTTTATAGATCAAAAATTAAGTAAGGCTCAGGAAGGTTAGGTAACTCGCCCCAAATTATACAGCTAAGAAGTGTCAAAGCTAGGATTGGAATCCATAAAGTCTGACAGAAGAACCTCTATTTCAATAAACACTTTCCAGCATAGCAGAAAGTCTATTCTGAGACAGAAGATGGAAAAGGCCAGGAGGGAGGATGGGCTCAGCAGCTGAAACCTTTATTCGATTGGCCCTGGGGAGTCAAGTAAGGTCGGAGACGCAGGAGCGAGCTGTTTAGAACTTCAGGGAGAAAACGTAAGGTGGTGGATGTAAAGATGGTTAAAGAAGGACAGCACGGAAGGAGGGAGACCAGTTGGAAACAAAAATTGGTAAGAGCCCAAAACAAGGAAGGGCATGGAGAGTGGAAAGGCAATGACAAGGATGGAAGATTCCAAAGGAGGAACTGGAAAAAGTGAATGAGTGGTTTTATCTCATTTTTTTTTTTTAGATTAAATCTCTGAAGAAGTGAAAAAAGTCTTTCCAGAGCAGGGGGGCAGTATGTACCCATTTTTCAGTCTTGAGGTCCTCATAATTCTAGTTCGATTTACAGTTAAGTGGTGTCAATCTGTTTAGAGGAATGGAACGAATGGTCAGGAATGAAGAGGGCTGACCACCTCTGCCCTAGGTGAGGTGGGAAAAGAAGGCGGTGAACGTAGAACACCTGACACTCCCAGCAGACCTTTCTTAACATACCGCTCCTCTACATGACAAAACTATTTTAGTAATAATCCTCTGATAATCGTTATCTTCTTGATTTGTTCTGTGCTTTAAAAACAATCAGCAATGTAAAAGTAATAAAATTTAACTCCAAAGACATATTCGAGTTGAGTAAAAGATTTCACATGTAAAGTGAAATTTACGCTCACCAGACAAAAATATTGCACTTTGCAGTTTACACTGTTTCACTGCGTTAATTTTAAAACACGAATAAAAACCACACATATTACATAAATGACAGAATGGAAATTACTGAAATTATATTTCTAATTTTTATCATCACTGTGCTACCATTGTTCATTCTGAATGTACTGTTTAAAAGCAGGAATATGAAGTTCAGCAAGGTCACAAACTACACCCAGAACCAGTTTGAAAGGTTCCGAACAGTTAGAAACCTGCTTTTGAAAATGTGTAGCTGAGTCACCTGTGTTGAGGGTTGACTGTGCAACTGGCGTTCTTGGGATTAACTTACACTACAACACAAGCACAATGAAAGGACAAGGAACAAAAATGCTAATTGAAGTGTTCATGTCAATTATTTGATCCTCAATAGTAACACTTCAGCAACTGTCCAGAAGATTTGTTTCAGGAGGGGCATCTCTGCATCTCATCACTGACTTTGTTTAGAATTGCTGGCACAGCAGGCCGGCCCGGTGGCGCACTGGAGAGTGCGCTGCTTGGGATTGTGGCGGCGCTCCCGCCGAGGGTTTGGATCCCATGTGGAGACCGGTTCCCGCTCACTGGCTGAGCGTGGTGCGGGTGCAACACCGAGGGTTGCGATCCTGTCACTGGTCAGTAAAAAAAGACAAAAAGGAAAAAAAAAAAAAA